TTCTGCTATTTAAGTGTGTCCTGGCGTGGCTGGTACAGACAATGCCAGACAGTCCGGCATCCTATTGCCAAGATACATACAATAGTCTCTTTGAGAGTCCATCTTTGATGTGTAAGTAGAGATGCATACTGCACTGTATCTTCACATCTGGATATGAAAGTCTATTATTCAGTTACTAGACATCTATACTCTTTATTTTAATTCTGATAACATCCTCATGAGACAGCCAAATCATCCTGAACAAGCCCAATCTTGTCTGATTTCAGAAGCTAAGCAGGACCAGGCCTAGTTAGTGCTTGAATGAGAGATGTTTTAATATCATAACCCCCTTGTATATTAAGAAATTGAAACTTAGCAAATACCAAGTAATTTGCTTTGATTTATGCCCCTGGAAATGGTGGCAGAATTTTGAATGCAGCCAGTCAAAAATGCCTACAGTGGTTAAACTGCAAGGCCTAAGCACTTCTTTTAAAGTGTACATATTGGCTTATGTTACTCAAGAGCTTCAACAACGACTGACACAATCGTTGGCCTTAAGCCTCTGATAGCTCTAATAGTTTGCATAGCAGTTCTTTAACATTTCTTGAATGAATGATTAAAAATGAGCCCGGTTTTGATTCTATTGGGGCAAATCATGTATTGTCCAAATAATAATAACATTTAGCTGTATTTTCATATATAGATTGTTTATATCTTTAAAATAGTGGTAGCACCATTATGTTTACATATAAATGCATTTATAATTTACAGCATCACGGCTCTGCCGTGCTATATGCCTGAGCTATTTGTCGCCTAAGAGTACAAGCTTGTAGCACGAGCCCTGACTCTCTAGCATCATGCCTAGTTTGCCCCTTTCTTTAATTCACCCTGAACACATCATTGTATTGAGTGAAGAAGGAGCTTCCACTGGCACATCTCACTGAGAAAGCTCATTGTACCGAGAGAAAGAGAGAGAGAGAGAGAGAGAGAGAGAGAGAAAGAGAGAGAGAGACTACTAACCCTTTAGGCGTGCTCAAGGGCATGTGTAATGAAACTCCACCATGTGGATTCCACACCAGCACCTCCTGGGCTCCAGCTCTTCACACCCGGAGCCTCGCATGTGAATGAATGACAGAGGCAGCACAAGGCACCGGGCAGCATGCTCCTGATTCAGGTCTACCTGCAGCAAACTCAGTTAGCATGTCCACTTTTCTATGTTCTGATGCTGCGCACCCTTAGTGCTGATTTGGAGAGGAAGTTTCTCCAAAGCTGGCAAGGTCGAATCCCACCACACCAGGTCCTTAACTACCCACCAGGTTTAAGCCAGCTCTGTGAAACCCATTGCTTACAGAAAGGAACAGTGAAGGAGAACCCTGTAAGAGGCAAAACCAACCCAAAGCCCAGAGGAGGAATTCACTAGTAAGGTCAAACCACCTGCGCATGACACCCCACCCTTTCCCTGGCAGCCACATGCGACTACTGACATTCACATTGAAATCACAAGATCAGGGAAAGGCCTCTGGAAATCCACCTTCCCTATGGGAATACCTGGATGTAATTCCCACCTCTGGCTCAGTTTCCAGCTTCATGTGGACCCTGGGAGGCAGCAGGTGATGGCTCAAATGGCTGAGTCCCTAGAGCCCACATGAGAGACCCTGACCAAATCCTCAGGTTCTGACTGGATCACAGAGCAGTCTCAGCCTTTGCAGGTGACTGGGGTGACTCAGCAGATGGGAGCTCTTTCACCAGCCCACCACCACCTCTCAAGTTAAAAAGTTCAGTTTTGGGGGCCCGGAGTGATAGGCTAGTGGCTGAAGTCCTCACCTTGCACACACCAGGATCCCATATGGGCACTGTCGGTTCTAATCCCAGTGACCTCACTTCCCATCCAGCTGGGAAAGCAGTAGAAGACAGTCCAAGGCTTTGGAACCGTGCACCCGCATGGGAGACCTGGAAGAAACTCCTGGCTCCTGGCTTCAGATTGGCTCAGCTCTGTTCGCTGCATTCACTTGGGGAGTGAATCATCAGATGGAAGATCTTCCTCTCGGCCTCTCCTCCTCTCTGTATATCTGACTTTCCAATAAAAAAATGAATAAATCTTCTCGGTCACACTAACGTGTTGCAGGTGCTCAGTGATGGCAGTGTGATGTCCATCCATCAACAAGTTCTTTTACTGACAACCTTATTCCAGAAAAAGTAGAACCAACCCTCCATTGGATCTCCTGGCTCATTCCAAAAGCTGTTTGCTTTGAAAGAAAAAAAGAAGGGGGGCTGGGGGGTTACAATGAAATAGTGACACCATCAGGAAGTTCATTACTTCCCAAAATACAAATCTGAGAAAAAGATTCAAGCACAAAAGCCGTGGCTGTCCACATGCTGGGGCTCTGGAAATGCCTGTAACCTCTCCATCTGCATCCGATGTATTTGCACGACAATGATGGCATCTTAGGGAAGAACCTGAGGGTGAAGCACGTGGCTCTTATTTTTTTCACACTTGCGCACAGGCAGGGGCTGTGTTTGTCATGGAGCTCTCTGGCTGCAGAGCTTAGATATCATCTTTAAAAGTATTTATTTTTGTGCATTTGAAAGGCAGAGTTATACAGACAGGAAAATACACAGAGATCCTCCTTCCGCTAGCTCACTCTTCAAGCAAACTCAGCAGCTGAGGCTGAGCCAACACAAAACCAGAAGCCAGGCCCATGTTCTGGATCTCCCCCATGCATGCTGGGGCCCGAGCGCTTGGACTGTCTTTGGCTGCCTTCCCCGGCACGGTAGCAGGGAGCTGGATCAGAAGTGGAGTAGTTGGGACTCAACTAGCAACCATATAGGAAGTAGATATCTAACGAGGAGGCTTAACTTGTTGTGTCACAGCACTGTCCCTTTAGATGTCATTACTATATGTGCTTTTGGGTGTATGTCAACCCAAATAACAGCTATTAAAAGAAAGCTAATGTATCATATTGGTTTCAGAGGATTACTACTCTCATGACGGCTTATGTTTTAAACTGCTTATTATGAATTACGGCTATGATATTTGATGTTATAACTCCTGAAGCCACCAAGTCCATACCAGCCCCTAAGAAGGGCTCCAAGAAGGTGGAGACTTAGACACATGAAAGCAAGGTCTGAAAGATTAGCTGCAAAGAATTCTTCAGTCTCATGCACCAAGTGTTCCAGCAGGAGCACCATGACACCAGCATCTCATGCAACGTTATGAGCATCACAATTTCTCCATAAATGACATCCTGTGTGCCTGATTGCCGAGGTGTCACGTTCGGCTCATTAGTGTAAGTGCTCCATCAATAACGCCTAGGGAGATCTACACGGCCATTGCCTGCTGCTGATGGGAGAGCGGGCCAGCCACACTGAGTCTGAGGGCTCCAAAGCCATCATTGAGTGCACCCGCCAAGGGAGAGACACAAATGCAGAGAAGAAGTGAGTGCATAAAGTGATGGAAAATATGAATCTGTAGAAGTTATGAAGTATGCAGATTCTGATCTGCCAAAGAATGACTGATGAGTGTCTACATTCCACCCACATCTAACTAATTCTGTTTTGCTACCCACTGTACCACCAAAAGGAGATCACAGATTTTGCTTCTGTGTTAGGCCTAACTATTTACTTTAGACTGTATTGCTAGAAAAAAAAAAAAACCTGAATGGAAGGATTTCAGGAAGTGTACAAATGAAATGTTATGATCAATAAAAACCTGTGGAGAATAGGGAGGAAACAAAGTACTTACTACAGCTTGGGTTCTGTGAGAGTACTTTAATCTTCACCGTCATGCTATCATCATCTTTGTTTTAAGTCATCTCCAAAGAAGACCTGAAGATTGCTTCATCTGTGGACTCAGTCAGTCACTTACTTACATTCATACTAAGGATGTTCACTGTGTCAGGCACTTTCCCAAGAGGATGAACACACAGGGGACAAGCCATCAACGGCTTTGTCAGAGGATGGAAAGCAGAACAGATTGGACAGTTCTCCTGGCCAAGCTTTGCAGCATGTCCCTGGGTCTGCATATGCACACTGAAGTGACTCTGTCAACCAAAAGACCTTGGAAAAAATTTCCCCACCCTGGAGTAACAAAACCAACGACTTCTCAGATCTTGAAAGCACTCAAATAACACTCCTCTCTCTATTGGGATCTGTAGGGAGTCATCAAATGACCATGTCCTCCTCTTCTTCTGTGGATACAGGAGGAAAAAAAAAAGACTGAAGCCCGTGTCCCACCCACCTTCTCTGTCTGACCCTCACTACCCTAATCAGAGGCCCACCTAGGTGTGCATCCGTCTCAACTATGGAAGCAATGTTAAGGTAGATAGATAGATAGATAGATAGATAAATAGACAGATAGATAGGCAGATAAATAAGTAAATAAAGAGTTTGGGCAAAGAGTAAAATGCTTTCTTTCCACCCAGCATCTGGGTCACCCAGCATCTGGTCACCCAGTCCTCTTCTCAGGAAGCAAGCCATGTTACGAGTTTCTTGGACCTATGTCATAGCTGTTATTACTAATCCAGGTATATACAAGGCAATTTAAAAATTCAGATTTAAATGTTACCCAAAGAATCCTGTGACAGCCCAGGAATCTAAAAATCAGGTTTTAAATTTTTTTTTCTTTTTGTACTTCAATTCTAAATGTCAAATTGTGACATTTTATCCTTCTGTAATTTAGGCAATGTCTAAAGCATCTAAAAGGTCAAGTTCTAGCATCTGTGAATCTCAATCATTGAACAAATATGAAACTGTAGCTGTGAACCAAGCACAGTGAGGCTCCTGATCTGACTGAAGTATTAGTTTACAGGAGGACCCATTCACCTCAATGATCACTCCACGAGAGTGTACTGTGGCAGGGCTAAGGGACCAGGGCCGGGAGCTCGGGAGGTGCTTCTGAGATGGAGAACACACAGAGGAACTCCGGGCCAAGAGCAAAGCTATGAGGGAGAGGGCTGGTAAACAGGAGGCAGTGGAAGAGGTCAGCGTGGCTGCTGCCCAGAGAGCAGGACAGAGTGTGGGCCAAGGGCGGGAAGCCCCCGGAGCTGCTTGACCATGCAGGCTGATAGAATGGAAGCTCATAGAATGGCTGATAGAATGGAAGCCATCCAAATGGATTATGCTAGGAGGTGACAGGATCAGAGTTGTATTTGTAGAAAGTCACTACCCTCCGTTGTGTGAAAGGATGTGGGCAAACCAGTGCCAGATTGAGGTCAGTAGGGCCTCCCAACTTCCACCTGCAGTTGTTGCTGGAGATGAGGGAAGATCTCAGACTCAGGGGACAATGGCCAGATAAAAACCAACAGGACGCGCTGGGAGAGAGAGAGAAATCATCAAAAACATCTTCGTGTGGCCAGTGCCTTTTCTTTGCTGAGAGGATGAATTCCAATGCTTCATAAATTTGGAGGAAAAACTACCTCTTGGTAGTTTCTTCATGGTGACTGGTAGGTGTTAACAGCTTGTTTTTTGCATTAGAATTGTATTAGTAAAATTTTATCATTGTGTCAGTAGTCTTTCTGTTCTAAGTGCCCTGGGGCCTCTAAGGACTGCTGAGAAACGGGAAGAAGTGAAACAGACAGGAATCTCTCGCAGTGCTACCGTGCAGATCACAAAATGGAAGAACAGTAAGTTGAGATCTACCTGGGAGAGCTTTGTGGCTGGCAAAATTTTAGTATTAGAGTTGAACAGTTTCTGAAAATGGTCATGGCAGTTAGCAAGGAGTACTGTTTCAGTGTCCCCACGTCCTTGCCAATACTTGCTGGTTTAGAAATGGTTGGTAAAGGTGCAGTTCTGTAGAAATGTGGTTTATGTTGCATTTTCTGCTGAGGGAGGTTGCAGATCTTTTATTGGCCATTCCTGCATCTTTTGGGGAAGTACCTAGTTTTCATTGTTGAGCTTATTTTTCAGTTGATTTATACTTCCTTATTCAGTGTATCCAGAATATGACTCCCTTTTGGTGTATATTTTTGTTTTTCTCATTTTCTACTCTGTGTCTTGACTCTTCAAGACTCTTCTAACATTTTTTGAGAAATGAGATCTTTAATTCTTTTGTTTTCAATAAATGTTTTACTTATTTGAGAAAGGGGGTAAAAGGAAAAAGAGGGAGGAGAGAGAGAGAGAGGAGAAAATATTTATTTACTTTGAAGGCAAAGTGACACAGAGTGGGAGAGAGAGCTCTTCCGTCTGTGGGTTCACTCCCTAAATGGCCCCAATAGCCAGGACCAGGTCAGGAACTCTGGGTCTCTGATGTGGGTGCAGGGACCCAAGGACTGTGCCCAGGTCTGCTGTTTTCTCAGACATGTTAAGCATGGAGTTGGACTGGAAATGGAGCAGCCAGGGGTTGAACCAGGGTCCATGTAAGATCCTGATATTGCAGGCGGCAATAAAACATAATATGCCACAACTCCCACCACCCCCAACACTGTCCTTTAATTTCACAGACTGTACTATCCTACCTTCTCCCAATGTCTTGCTCATCCATAGACCTATTAGCAATTTGGAGGTTATCTTTTAGTATGTTTTTGTTTTTGTGTATAAACATGGGCACTGGTTAGATATAGGCTTATGTCTAAATAGATGGAATTATTTCATCTCTATTAGTTCTGCATACTGCGTGTAAGAAAAGATTGGATAGCCCATATTCAAATAATAAAACAAAGAGGCTTAAGTAACCAAATTAACTCCACCTTAGTTCAGGCCAATATCTCGCAGTCCATTGCCTACATAGGCTAGTTACACAAAACAGGATATTGTGTTCAACATGGGGCCCCAGTTTCATCTGGCCCAACCACAAAGTTTCTATTCCAGGAACAGCGCTGAACAAACAGCTGTCCTTTGCTGTAAAATGTCTTCCTCTTTTCTTCTAACCAACAACTCCAAGGCCAGTTCCCTACTACTAGCTATTTCTCATTACCCTACTAACCACTCAGCATTTCTCCTGGGCATCCAAATCTCCACTGCCCCGTGTGTATGTGTGTGTGTTTGTAATTTTCTTTTTTTTTTTTGGATTAAAAAATTTTTTTATTATTATCATTTTATGATACAGTTTCACAGGCTCCTGGTATTTCCCTTATTCCAACCCAATTCCCTCTTCCCCCACCTAGTTCCTCTATACCATTACTAAGTATAGTTCTTCATACACAGTCATATGTTCATCATTGTGGGCATGGACAATGGCAGAGTCCAGCATCCTGTTGTCAAAATATAGTAAACAGTTTCATTGTAAGTCCATCTTTGGGAGCAGAAATGCATATTACATTGTATCCTCACATCTGGATATGTTAGTTTCTATTTTATAGCTACTGTACACCCCCTCAAATGAAAAGTCATAATGCAAAATCAACAATAGAAAGAAAAAGAGAAATTTACAATGCCATGAAGTTACAATGACATGTTACTAGATATGACAGTCTCCATTACACAGCTACTATACATCCCCTTAAATGAAAAGCCACAAAACAAAATCAACATCAGGAAGAAAAAAGAAATTAACAACACCATGAAGTTAAATAATGGTTCTAATCCTGGATTGACTCAGCTCCAGCTGTTGCAGCCAGAAGATCTTCCCTCCTCTCTGTCTCTTCTCCTCTCTGTATATTTTCCTTTCCAATAAAAAAAAATAAATCTTTTTAAAAAAAGTATGAAATAAAATGGAAATGGGCAAAGGAATGGGTCTGGTTTCTTACAAGAAGGTATGCCCACTGTCATGTCTGAATGTCGAAATCCAAAATAAAAAAATTTTCATTTGTCAGATTGTCCATTACTCAATAGACTCATCTTTTTCCACTTTCTAACTACTAATTAACATTTGGCATTATCTTTTTATAAAATGATTTTATTTGATAATTGATTAAATCATTTGGCAAAATTTTTGGTGTAAGCCCTTCAATTAATAACTAGATGTAGGGTTAAAGCAGCTTTTATTTGGCAAACATTTTAGTTTTGTGCTGCCTATCTTTTAAAAGTTACTGTATTTTAGTTGAAACAAAAATGGAATTTGGAGTGAACATAGACATGAGTTTAGTCTGGCCTGCCCAATTTATTATTTCTATGATATTTATCAAATTGTTTATCTCCTCTGAATGTCAATTTCTTCAACTTTAATTTATGCCACAAACAACATCTATTTAAAGTGATTATTCAAAGGAATTCATAAGTGCTGCTGTGCATATGAACACATCGTGAAATATAAGCTATCATAGGAGTGTCAAATGTAAAAGGTTAAAAATATATCTCAATGTTGCTGTGTTTCAAATATACCCAAATAGTTAGGAAACAAAAGCTTAAACATTGTGACTTTTCCTTTTTTACATGATTTTATAAGGTATTATTCCACATTCTTTAGTTACCAAAGATGAGTAGTTTTCCTTTAAATATTACATATGAAAGTTTCCATATTTCTTAGTATAATAAAAATGTATGTATTTGAAAGGTGAAATTAGAGAGATGGAGAGTTAGAGAGGTGGCATCTATTCCCCAGATGACCACAATGGCTAGGGCTGGACCAGCTTAAAGCGAGGAGTCAGGAGCCAGGAACTTCATCTGGTCTCTCATATGGGTTCAGGGCCGAAAGACTTGGGCTGTTTTTCTGCCACGTCGGAAGTGGAGCAGCTGGGACTTGAACTAGGACCCATATGGGATGCTGGCATTGCAGGAGACAGCCCCCTCCAGTATACTTTTAAGGAATTATGCCTTATGACTAAAACATTTCTGTGAGTACAAGTTTCTAAATATGCACAGAGCCGCAGAATATTTCCAGAAGCTAACCTTTGAGCTCACATACTCACAAACACTCCAGCACTATTTCCAGTCTTTCTAGAGCAAAATAGGCATGCTACTTTAACATATATATATTTGTTTGAAAGAGTTATAGAAAGAAGGAGAGGCAGAGATTTCCCCTTCATTTGTTCACTCTCTACATGGTGGCAATGATTAGAGCTAAACCAATCAGGAGCCAGGAGCAAGAAACTTCTTCTGAGTCTCCCATGTGGATGCAGGGGCCCAGGGACTTGGGCCATATTCTGCTGCTTTCCCAGGTTCTAAGTAGGGAGATGGATTGGAAGTGGAGCATCTGGGACTCAAACCAGTGCCCATATGGGTGCCATAGCTGCAGAGGGAGGATTAGCCTGGGAAGTTACCATGGTAACACCTGGCATGCTATTTTCAAAAATGTTTGCTTTTCTTCCCACTAACATGCCTAGAATAGTAGGGGTAACAATTCAAAAGCTATTGAGAGCTATTTTTTTCCTTGTTCTTCGCTTCTGCGTAAGGAGGAGGGATGAGAATTACCTGGAATTTCCATTTCCAAATATCTGTATCATGTTTTACAAGGGAAGTTTTCATTTAATATTTCATTGAATACTTCTTTAAACCCAGCTTCTCTTTCTGCGCCTCTTGGAACTTCCATAGTCTTATTATTTGGCCTTTTAATAGTGTCTCTTAGTTCTTGAATACTTGTTTTGGCTTGAGTCAGATCAATTTCCAGTTTTTAATTGTTTCTCCATTGTGGCAAGAAATGTCTCCTAATTCTGCAATTCTTTCTCCTGCTTCACTTATTCTATTACTGAGGCTTTCTACTGAATTTTTAATTTGCTCCATTGCATTCTTAATTTCTAACATATCAGCTTTCATTTGATTCATGGCTGCCAGTTCCTGTGTGACATAGTCCTTAAATTCCTTGAACTCCTGTATGTGCTTCTCATTGTTGATAAGAAACTTTATAACAAATTTTTAAATTTCTTTATACCTAATTTTCTCAATGCCTTCCTCAGTTAACCCTGAAGTTGAAAAAGGTTTTTACTCCTTTGCAAGGGAGGCATCAGTAATATGCATTGTGCCTCTGTCTTTTTTTGCTCTTGGTCACTGCGATTCTGGTTAGCAGGTTCCTCTTAGTAGGGCTGATTTCTAAGCTGTGTTACCCACTGGTCTACAGATCAATTTTATTGATTGCATTTTGTATCTGGATCTTCATTTACAATCATTTGTGCCACTCCCTCCAGCAAGTTTCAGTCCCAGGTTCTTGTGCTAACTTTTTACCACGGCCTCTGTAGTCTCAGCTCCTGGCTTACCACTCTCTACCCTCTGTGATCCAGTGCTCTGGCTGCACCATTGCCTGCATGGCCTTTCTCCCACTCTTGGCTCCAGCAATGCCTTGCATTAGGGAGATACCAGTGTCCTAAATCACTGGGTGTTGGTCTTTGGGTCTGAGGGTCATCTGGACTTATTTTGGTAGGAACTCATATGATATCAAGTCAGTACTGATTTCTCTGCAGAACTGATGCGATGCACAGATCCAGAATTGATTTTGCTCCTGGCTTAGGACATGCGCAGCTCACTTTTGTCACTCTGGTCCCCTGAGCCTTTGCTACAGTACACAATTGTACTTGATTGTTTTTGTCTTAGTGCATACACAGCTCACTGCAATCTTTGCCACAGTACACAAAAC